TTGATGCTAAGTATTGATTTGCGCATAAAATTGTACCTTTCAAAAAGTAATTCTAACGTGATGCACATGCAAGTTTTTAAATCGAAATTTGTTTTGGTATAGAAATGTATGATTAGAGATGGATATGTGAAAAAGAAACGTGGTTAGTGATAATTTAACAAACATTAGGAGTCAGTTTAACATGGATTTTACTCAGTATGCTTTCATAGTGAACCTAGCTTCAATTAGAACTTTTGAAGGTTGTAACGTGGTCTGGTTTACGGTTTAAGAAACAAAATATATAAGACTCGAATTTTATTTAACCCACCCATTCTCCTTTGTTGTTCTCCATTCCTAAATTCAATTAACTCAACGGATGCATTCAGTCTGCAAGAAAACTCTTTTTTGGTAGTCACGATGATGAGTATAAGCATTGACAAGGTTCAAGCACTGATGAGAAGCATTGATAATCCTTGAGGTGGAAGTCACAAGCTTATTTTCCATTTTTGTTTTTAATCTCTTATTTTTGCATGGACCAATTCTTTTGAATTCCTGGTCCATCAGGATGCCCTAACTTTTTCCTAAGTCAACTTTTTGGATTTTCTTTTTGACTTAGTGGACTCTTTTTCCTTTTTGTAATTTTTTTTTGCTTTTGAGATTATTTTTTATTTTGATTATGGAATGTTGTGACTTCCATGTTGACTTTTGCGAGCTTCATCTTCATTTCTTCCTGGATTTTGTATGATGTGTGCAAGGAAAAAGATATTGTGAGTTGTATCTTTATTGCTTCCTTGATCTTTGATGATGTGCGCGGGGAAGATGGTGTGCTTAAATCTCTTGCTTAGATTGACTAATTTTCTTGACATTATAATGCATAATTGAATTAATTGAAGTCTACCCTACCCCTAGTTAAAATTAAGGTTTTTTAGAAAATAAAAACAATTCCAACTTTTGGCTCGAGGGGGTTGACTACAGATTAACTCCTTATTTCTCCATTATTTAGGAACTAAAATAATACCTTACATCGTCAGCTAAGTCTTACTATTAAAAAGCACACGTCAGCGCATTTAGTTTATATTATTCTCCCTCAAAGTTTGTTAAAGGCGGAAATGGAAATGGAAAAAAGTTTATGCAAATGTATGTATGGGATGTATGAAAATGCATGGGTATGTAAAATGATACTTTTCCATTTTTTAAAGGGTATGCTAAAATTTTCATGGAAATGCAATGCAGAGTTATGAAAAAGATGGACTTAAGGACACCCTATACGGGTTTAGGGATATATACACTAGGGAACCCCTACAAGATATGGATTACGATATACAAAAGAGAAACCCTATGGGTTATGGATTATGACCTACAAAAGAAAACCCTACAAACTAGGGATTAAGGTTTTCAAAAGAAAACCCCTACTTCCTAGAGATTATGATAAACCAAAGAAAACCCTATGGGCTAGGGATTGTAACAAGGTATCCTTAGCAGGAAGATTCCCTATGAAGGATATGATGTAAATAAAATATCCTATAGGAGGGCTCTTATGGGAGGTTTTAAGTTTTTTTCCTACTCTTACACGTAAGGGTGGTTTCCTTAAGGTATCACGGATAACAGAAAAGGGAAAAGGCACAAGGACCTCCCGTAAGTGGAGTCTCTATGTAGACCAAGACTTTCGTCTTGTAGGTCGTACAAGGTCTCTCCATGAGATTTTATTTTTGTTTATACAAAGAGTCATTGGTCAAATCCAAATTCATATATCCAATAGAGTATAGCCCTCTAAAAGATAATTATAGGAATTTGACCTACTCAAGGAAAAGTTGTTGCAAAAACTCATAGGGATGTTAAACCCCATTGGCCAATTGACAACCCTTCTTCTAAGATTTGATATTTTTTGAAATTAAATCCCACCAACAATAAAAGCAATATGATAATAATATGATATAATAAATAAACAATAAACAAGTAAATATGGAAACGAATAACATGTCATAAATAGAAACAACCCAAAAAACCTAGACCTAAAAGGAGGGGTAAAATCTAACCCTAGGATTATGTCCCCAACAGAGTCTCCAGTTGCTGTAACCGGTAAAAAATACGAGAGTCGCCACCATTATTTTTTGTTCGAAGGACGGGGGAATAATAGATAACCCTAATTGTCTAGAGATTACTAGATTGCGAGTTGGTTAGATAAATGGAAGATGTTAGACACCCTTTATATTCCTTGTTCTCAAGGGGCCCCTATTTAGGTTTAAGATTTATCAGGAATTTTCTATTTAAATGTGTTATTTCCAAGTATGTGTGAAAAGATTTAGTTTTTTAGTTAGGGTACTCGCCTTAGTTTTTGATCTGCGTACCTACGTATCCTCTTGCAAAGAAATCAAAGTCCATTTCATAGTTCGTATGTGTTTGGTTAGTGTTTTTTTATAGGATTACATATAATTGCTTTCAAATGCTCCTTTTGAATTTTGTCTGGTTTGAAAATTGAGTGATCGTAGACGTAGTTAAAGTTTAATTTGAAAGAGATGCTATTTAATCATTTTTTGGAAATGATCTTGAATTTTTATTAAGTTAGTAAAAAAAAGGTTTGTAATTGGTTAGCTGTTTTAAATCTGATTTGAGTTTTGAAATTTGAAGAAGAGATGATCTTCATTAGAATTAGATTGCGATGAGCGAAGAAATTAATTTTTATAAAGAGTTGATCCTTATTAGAATTAAATCGCGCGGGGCGAAGAAATTCATTTGATTTATTAGCGATTTTTAGATGTTTTGTATTTGAATAATTGATTAGCAAGATTTTAAGCTAACCAATCAATTATTCGAGGATGTGAAATTCTTTTATTTGCTAAAAATGTTAAGAGTTAATTTGATTTAGAAAAATATTTGATTTATGTACAAGTGATTAGATTGAATTTAATCGAGGGACTCATACTATAAAATAAAGACATATTTTTGTGCTTTTAATATTTTTAATGAACAGGAATTAAATGACTAAAATAATTAAACTAATTTTAAAAATTAGAGCTAATCAAATAATATAACTTAATTAACTAAATTAACCTAATTTAAAAAACTAAAATAAAACTAAACTAAGTAATTAAAATAAAAGAGTCAAAATAAAAAACATAAGACAAAGGGGTGTGGATAAGATTATAGGAGGGATAAGTATCAATGGACCTATAGTCCATATAAAATAAAACCTAATTGAATCTAAATGTTAAACAAATAGTAAAACTAAAAAAGATAATTTAATAAATGACAAATTAGAAAACTTAACCCTAATATCATCTGGAGGTGTCACGTTTGACACCAAATGTTAGATTTAAACAAGCTTTTTAGAAATTAGTGACAAAATTATGGCTAGAATCAGACATTGAACTTCTAAGCTCCTTAGCAGTGCTCTATTACTGCCATTATTCAGTTCTGGATGCAATGTTATACGTATATATAATATTATATACACTCCAACCTTTTTGTCTTCACACATAAAGTTACTTTGTTTTAGAGTGTTATAAAGATTTTAAATGTCCTTTATTTCCTTGGGCCTGTGGCCCATTTTGGTGTTAATTTTCCTAATCCAAGCTGAACTATTAAATTGACAATTATATATTTTGATTATCATTAAACTTAAACTAACGTTGTTCTAATTTTATGTATATTTAATAATGTTTATTATCTACTTTCAAATATAATCACCATATTTAATGAATTACCATTTTTTCAAACGTTTTTACAATTGAATTATGATCAATACCCTCAACAATTTTTTTAAATAAATTTTGAGTTTTTTTCTTAATTATATTTTTTTCCAAGTCAAAATAATATAACACTACAACCTTTTTTAAACTTATTGTTTTTCCTTAGCACTAATTTTTTAAAAGTAATTTCAGTTTTATTTCTTAAATAATTTGTTTACTATATCTCTATATATCGCTTAATTTTTTTATAAATTTTTTGGTTTTTCAAATGTGCGTCCTAAAACAGAATCTATACGAATACGCAAATTTTTTACTAATTGAAGTAAAAATTAAGTGAATTGATTTAAAATAACGTAATTTAATAAATCCCACAAAAAATTTAAAAATAAATTGCACTATTGAAGATGTCCTCATCATTCAACACCTTGTTACCCATTTCAATGCACAATGTCATGTTGTCACCTTCGTATCTATCCATGAAACTAGTGTTTAATTTCACCCGTGAAAAAGAATATCTAATTAAAAGATTATTTGAATTTTTTTAAGAAATATATATATATATATATATATATATATATATATATATATATATATATATATATATATATATATATATATATATATATATATACTATTTTACACTATCAATCAATTAGGGGTATATATCAAATTGAGTCATACTTTTAAGGTAATTTTTTTATAACATTAATCTATTTATGAACACAATTTTATATTTATATGATAAAAATCACATATATTTAATAATATATGTTGAGATGGATGGAAATCTTTTTTAAATTACATATATACATATTAAATTTAGTAAAAATATAAAATAATCTATTTTTGTTGTGGATTATAATTATTATTTTTTACCTAAACAATAACAATACTAATAATAATGTTTTATTTTATTATATATTTTTTAACATAATAATACTCATATATTCAATGATATATAAATATATTATATTTTAAAAACAAATATATAAAAATGATACTATAATGTAATTTTATTAAATGCGCGTGTAAAAATAATTTACGAATAACAATTATCTGATATTTAAAATTGTAAATCTTTTTTATATTACCTCTATATATAAATTAAATTAATACAAATATAAAGTATTTTTGTTTTTGTTAAACTGGATCATAATAGTTATTTTTGACCTAAATAATAATAATAATAATAATAATAATAATAATAATAATATATATAAAGAATACCCTATAGCTTAGTTGAGAAAAATAAGAATAAGAACAAGTTCCCAAAACTAGGGTTTCGTTGTGGAGATCAAAAGGAGTGGATTTTGCTGCAAATTGAGCTGAATCATGCCGAAGAACAAGGGAAAGGGAGGAAAGAATCGAAAGAGAGGAAAGAACGAAGCCGACGACGAGAAACGCGAGCTTGTTTTCAAGGAAGACGGCCAAGAGTACGCTCAAGTCCTCCGCATGTTGGGTAACGGAAGATGCGAAGCCATGTGCATCGACGGCACAAAGCGTCTCTGTCACATCCGCGGCAAGATGCACAAGAAGGTCTGGATTGCCGCCGGCGATATCATCCTCGTCGGACTCCGTGATTACCAGGATGATAAGGCGGATGTGATTCTGAAATACATGCCGGATGAGGCTAGGCTCTTGAAAGCGTACGGTGAGCTTCCTGATAATACTAGATTGAATGAAGGGATTGGGGCTGGCCTTGATGAGGAGGATGACGGGGATGCTAATGATTATATTGAGTTTGAGGATGAGGATATTGATAAGATTTGAATTCATCTTTTTGTTTGTTTCAAGTTCAAAAGTTGGGTTTTAATTATTATTAGTCTCTCGTTATATGTGTTGATGATGAACATGATTATATGTAATGTTTGGGGTTTTATGTTGTACTCTATTATGGGATATCAGTGATGATGATATCGTGAATTTCAATTTCAATGCACAAGAATAATTGATAGTTTATTTGTTGTTCTGTTTACTGTTTCTTGGATGATATGATACTCTTGTTATTCTAGATTTGCCTTTGGTGTTCTGTTGATTTAATTTGTGTTGTTTTTTTGCTGTTGGTTGTTTTATGTGGGAGTTGAATTTGGATGTATATACTTGATTGCTGTTTGGCTTTTTAGGGTGTCGTTGTATTGAGAATGAAGGTATATAATTTCCTTTGATATTTATTGAACTGTTGTGGTGTTTTACTGTCATTAAGCTTGTTGGCAAGTTTGGTTTCAAGTCAATTGTCTGTTTCGATCCATTTCCCCCAAAATCTCATTTTTGGCTTTGTCAGTTGCTCTATTGAAGTTTTTCAAGTATTATCTCTTTCAACCATTTGTTGTTTCAAAGTCTCAACTCAAGTTAGGCAGCAACATATCATGGTGTGTGTTGGATGATGCTCTTATTATTGGTGTTTTTGTAGTTTTGGTTGGTGTGTTTTTTTGTTTTAATTATGTTGTATTTTTGTTGGTGTGGTGATCAGTGGTTATGCACTGGGGTTTTGATATGGTGGTTGTTTCACGGTGGAGTATAATCGGGTGGATGTAACTGATTGTGGTTTTGCTTTTGGGGGTGTTGTTGCAATGAGAGTGAAGGTATATCATTGTTTGATATTTATTGAAATGAAATTGATGTTTCACTGTCCTGTCCTGATAATTAATTTTTGTGTTCTTCATTGGAACATTTGATTAAGGCTGTTTTGAGAAGTTTGGCTTAGGTCAATGGTTTGTTCTGCTCCCTTTTCCCAAAATCTGATAATTTGGTTATTCTTTTGAATTATTAAAGTTTTTCATGGTCTTTGCTAGCATATTAGTAATGATATATTTGGTTTTCAATTATCATTTTTTGCAATTTCATATTTTTTTCAAAGTGTTTGGAAGCTGGCATTTGTTGCAGAATTTATTTTATGCAAAACAACTATAGTTCTTTGAATGTAACCATTGACGAGGGTCTTGAACCCAAAGCTGTTTGTTCATACTACACAAAGAATATACTTTTATCAGTGAGATTAACTTGCAGCAGTTTAAAGTCTGAAAAATATGCAGATATTATAACCTGTTTCAAAAAGTATTGTTGGATCCAAAACACTACTATCTTGCAGGGTGTAATGCATAAATAGATCCTATCTTTGCAGAGTGTGCCTTTTAAGGTTGTATATTATTTTTGGCATTTTTAGTTACAGAATATTTTAACAGCTCCCAAACCATGAGACTTCATAGCGATTGCATGCTTTGCCCCTCTGTATTTTGCAGGAAAGGTCTTTTGAAATAAATTACAGGGTTCATTATCATGAGTACCCTGCTTGAACAATACAAACATCTGCTTAAGAGCAATATGATAATTCTCCATTTTTTTAGTTAATAATCCCTTGATGTGGTTTTTGTGTTGTCTTTTCCTTCTCTATTTGTATGTTAACAGTTCTTTTATTTATTTATTTTTAATATTGTTTGTGCGTTTTCTACCATAATTTTTGATCACGTCTGTGTATGTTATGATTGATCTGTTAACCTTTTTCAATCCTTTACCATTTTTTTATCACACTTTCAAATACATCGAATCAAGGTTAATAGGGTCAATTTTGGTTTAATTTAGTCATAACCTAATCTGAATACGGTACACCGGTTTGGATGGGCTAAAATAATCACCCACAATATTTTTTATTATAGGCCTTAACTCTAGGGGTGTAGATGGGTCAATTTTGGTTTAATTTAGTCATAACCTAATCCAAATACAGTACACCGGTTCGGATGGGCTAAAATAATCACCCACAATATTTTTTATTATAAATAAGTTTATTGATAGAGTAGTAGGGATACTCAAATCCGCTTATAAAAGTTGAGAAAAATCTCGGAAACAAGAGAAACTTTCAACCAACTGAAATCTATTTTAAAAAATACAATGGGTCTTTGCAAAATTCATAAATATTGCACTTGAAATAAGAAATTTCTCCTACAAAAGTCTACTTCCACGCCTTTAATTTAATATTTTAGATGAGATCAGAAATAGAATAGTTACCACTATTAAAAACGATATCGTTCCTTAACTCCCAAATTCCACCCACCATTGCTAACCACATAAGACCCTTCTTATTAGCAAATGACACCCTTATTTCTGGTACTCAAAGACCACAACCTGAGAAATTTTTCCATAAAACAACTTCTGGGCTTCTTATACACCATGTTCAAATTTCCATTTCCGACCAAATTGCTTTAGAAATTGGGCAATTAAACAAAAGATGCAACAAAGTTTCGTCTTTGTCGAACATAAAGCACAAAAGAGGTATTATTGTTAAAGACCATATCTCTATTCTTCAAAGATCACATGTTGGCAAACAGTTGAGATAACATTTCCACCTGAACAACTTTATTCTAAACGGAACAACCATACTCCAAAGCAACCTCAACGCCTTACGAAAGTTTTCCTCAATAAGCTGCACAATGTTAAGTCGGGAGATAAAATGAAAAATTATTCGAGTAGAATATCAAACCAGAAGATCCAAAAGCCAAACCTTGTTATCAATTGAACCCGGGTCAAAAGCAAATCTAGACAAGATTTGGCCGAGATCACTCAACCTGTTCTAAAAGTGCAGGTCCGAACCTACTCCAACGCCAAAATCGCCTCACCTCCACTGCGAACCATCCCACCTACCCGCCTCCACCAAATATCTTGCAAAAGCTTAACAAATACAAGTCAGGAAAAATATCTTTAAGACAAATAACTCTACACCAAGGCATTTCCAAAAAAAGAATGTCCACTCCATTACCCAAAGTGACTCCGACATTAACTGTAAAAACTAACTCCGAGAGCCTACTCTCCACCTTAACCAAATCTGACCACCATGCAGAAGCCGAAATAGGAGAATGAGAAATACGTGAATTCAAAAGTTGAGAATAAAAAGAACCGTACCTAGCCTCTAACACTTCTCTCCATAACAAATCTCCCCCCTTGAGAATCCTCCACCTCAATTTAAGAAGCAAGGCCGCATTGAAATCCTCAATCTTCTTCATCCCTAAACCACCCAACTCCATAGGTTTGGACACCTGCTCCCATCCCACCCAATGGATCTTCCTTTTGCCTCCCGATTCACCCCATAAGAAATTATTTTGGATTTTCATAATCTCGTTGTAAATCTTAACCGGAGTCCCATAAAAGGATAGTTGGAAGATAAAGATATTGGACAAAATCAATTTAAGAAGCGTAATCCTCCCCCCTAAACTTAGGAATCCCCCTTTCTAATTTTCAAGTCGAGACTTCAACTTAGATAGTAAAGGAGAGCACGCCGAAATATGCCTCGGGTTATAAACGATAGGAATACCAAGGAAAGTGAAAGCTTTTTCCTCTAACCCTGCAAGATAAAAAATTAGAAGCTTCCCCCTAAAATTGGGGACTAATGTTAATGCCAATGAGCATACTTTTGAAAAAGTTGACTCCCAAGCTAGAGACGGTCTTAAAACCCGTCAACATCGCTTTATGGAACCAAACATGCTTCCAACTCCCTTCACCGATTAATAAAGTGTCATCCGTGAACTGAAAGATATCAACACAACTCCTATCCTAAATCGAAAACCCCACAAACTCTCTAATAACTATTGCCTTTTTTACTAAAGTTGTTAATCATTCGGCTACCAACACAAAGAGAAAATGAGGCAAAGGATCCCATTATCTAAGCCCATTCTCCATAAAAAAATCCTTAGTCGAGCTACCATTAATTAACACCGACATGGAACTCGAGAAAATCATTTCTTCCATCCACTTAAGCCAAGCCCTACCAAAACCCATCCTCTTCATCACGAATTTGAGAAAGTTCCAACTAACTTTATCATACACCTTTTCAAAATCTACTTTGAAAAACAAATAAGCCTTCTTTGCCTTTGTTGCGTAATCCACTACTTCATTAGCAACTAGGACACCATCCATCAAATATCTTCCCAGAACAATAGCGCTTTGGGATTAGACACTACAAAACTCAAAAACCTTTTTAATTTAGCAACCAAGAGTTTTGATAAAGCTTTGTATAAACACCCCACAAGGAAAATATGCCTATAGTCGTCTAATCCCAATGGGTTGCTCTTCTTAGGCACTAAAGTTAAAAAGATGAGGTAATTGCTTTCGATAACACAACGTTTCCATGAAACTCCTCAAAGAAACGAATAATATAAAACTTCATGAAACTCTAGCATTTCCTAATAAAAAAGAAATTATAACCATCCAACCCAAGACTCTTAGATCCCTCACACTCCCACACCGCTTCCTTAATATCTAATTCAGAGAAAGGCAATTCTAAGGAGAGACACCCCTCCTCCGATAACATAGAAAAAGAAATTCCCTCCAAAGTAGGACGGTTCCAATTCGATTCCAAGAACTTCTCATGAAAATGCCTCTTAACTTCATCCTTCATCTCCCCCACCTCCTCCAAGACCCCTCTGCTATTAACTATAGAATCAATAAAATTACTCATCCTCCTTTCCTTTATAACAATGTGAAAAGACCTAGTGTTCCCACTTAAGCCTCAACTTCTTAAGAGTCATATTCTCTCTAAGCTTTAAGTGTTTTCACATGCTGCTAACATCTAAAATTCAGGCCGCAACCCCCTTTTTCACATGGCACACCCTGCAACTCTCCAATAAAAGATCCGCCTCATTAATTTTCTGGACACCACACTCCACCTCCAACTCAATTTTACCAAACACTTCCTTATTCCACTTTCTAAGACTACAATTAAGCTATCTCAATTTCTCTTTGATAACAAAGTCACATCTTCCTTCTATTCGTAACTTTTCCCA